CGGCCGCGGCCGGGGGGCGGAGCCAGGCGGGCCGGTGTCGCGTGGACCGCCTCAAAAGAGCCCAGGATATCGCAGACCGCACTGGAGCCCTGGCCAGCGCGCAGCCTGCCCCGGCGCCGACCAGCTGGGTGTTGGGGATTCTGGTTTGCTTGGGGCCCACTCGCTTTTACAAGCTACTGGATCTTACATGCCTCCGTGTGCCCCCACTTCCACTCCATGTCCCCATGCTCCTGCGCCGGCAACAGGTAAGGGCCGCTGTGTGTTTTCTTCCCTCCTTCTCTCTCGCTGCCTGTGTGTCCTGGGGAGTGGACTCGGGCTGCGGTCCCCGATCCTGCCCTGCTCCAGAGGTGCCCAGCTGTCACGCTGCTGCTGGAGCGCTCACCCACGCGGCCGAGTCCCAGATCACGCCTATAGAGTTTGTGTGCGCACCAGAACATCCCCAGAGCTAAAAATACTGAGACATGCTTGGAACAGTTGAGCAATAGAAACATTTCTCTGCAGCATCTGTTTGTGCTCATAACTTCCAATGCACCAGCTGTAGTGAGATACTGCATTTGGAGGCGAGAGCGAGGGAGCCTGCGTTCGATTCGATTCTCGGTCTCAGGAAAGGAAAAAAAAAAGGAGGGTGGAAGCGATAGTGCATCTAGAAGCGCCGATCTCAAACCTTGGCAAACCTTGGTAGTCAACACTAGCTTGCTCCTTGGCCTTTTTTTTTTTTTTCTTTTTTCTTTGTCATTGCTTCAAGTGTAGCGTCGCGTTCCAAACAGAGCGAGCGTCTCAAAGTTGCTTTACTGGGGAAGCGAGCGGGAGCCCGGGTTGCACATAGAGCCTGATGGCCGCGAAACGTTCACACCATTCTGTCACTGTCCCCTAAGCAACTTGTAATCCTTAGTACTAATAGTACTGACACTTAGGTTAAAGACAGCGTGGTTTCTAGGGAGCACAGTGGTGAAAACGACTTTTTTTTTTCCCCCTGCAAAAGGATTGCATCATAACATAGACTCATCGTGACAATTGAAAAAAAAAAAAAGAAATAGGAAATAGGCAGTTTAATGTTTGTGCCTGGGTAAGCATATCAGTGGGATGGTAACTAGGATACAGCTGTGAATCTTGGGGATTTTTATAAACTCAGAATTTACCTGGTAGGAAATAAGGCATTTGGGTATGCAGAGAATGCATATTGACTTTTTACCACTTTTTTTTTTTTTTACCACTTTTTCATGTTAATAATCTATTGGCTGTCAGATTTTCTCTCGCTTACCACTGTTGTGTGTCTGCTGTATATTACCTATGCACTTGTTAGCTTTTTCCTGCTCACTTCCGCCCCCACCCCCAAGTGTTTTATTTATATTTGCCATTATCCAGAAAAATCTCCATGCTCAGGGGTAAGAGATGTGACTTCAAGGATGGCGGGAGGGGCGAGAGTTGGGGTCAAGGTCATTTCACTTTGCTTTCAGCCCCTCCCCCTCTTGTTTTGGTGGAACTTCCTTCTATGTTACCGGTATCCATGGGAATATTAGTTCTAAACTCTTGTGAATTGGGCATTTAAAAAAACCCACAGTATTTCTACTTCCTTTAGACTCTCCGGATGCAGAATCTCTGGTTGGCTGTAGAGTCCTTGTATGACTTTTGAGGAGCATGCAAGATCTACCACATCTTTACCTGAACAGCCTGACCGTTTTAAGTGTTTTTCTTTTCTTAGTGTATATGTTTGTTTAGCAAGTGTGTATATGTTCTCAGCGTTTGCACATGCTAAGTGATGCTATGTGCATCGCTGAGTGTCAATGTTATAGTGCTCGCATAGACGACTGGGTATCCCCCTCCCCTCCCCTCGGTCCTCCGCCCCTCCCTCTGTTTACTGAGCGTCTATGGGGTTGCTTTGCTAGCACTTGCGTTCTCATAGCAACATGTGCCCAGAGCATACTCAGGCTGGTCTATATGGCGTCAGCTGGGGAATAGCTGCTCTGAACACTCATTAGCAGACCTCGCTCTAAGCCCAGCATGCTTTCTTTTCTATGCTGATTTCCTATCCTTAGTTAGAAACTTTCTTGTTCGGTACACTATGACCACCTTATGGGACACATTTATTCTCGTTCATTCTTCATAAGCACGTTTTTCTGTTTTTCTTTTTAATAATCCATCTTGGAAATATTTCCTATGAGGCAAAAATGATTTAGATTCACCCAGTTATACCATCTTATCTCCTTGACCTTTGATTTATCTGTAGCTCTCTCTCCCCTAACATCTACCTAAGATTGAAGCACTGAACTATTTTTTTCCATTGCTTATGCTTAATTTTGGCTCAGCCTATAAATAGTCTTAACATGAACAGCACCACATGTAGCCTCTCAATTTCCCAGAAATATTTTCTACCTCATTGGTTATAGCCTGGGTAAAATGATTATGTGTGCCTTTTAAATTTACATCAGGCCCTTAAATATTTGGGCTGTAAGGGGCATTTACACGTGGTCCATCCAGTCAAATATCCATTCTCCCGAGTCGTACCTATCAAGGAGGCAAATCGCTTCGTGTTCTCATCTATTCTTAATCGAATGTTTCTCAAAAAATTATTTTCAACCTCTTCCTAAAATAAAGTTGCATGAAAGCCCTAATCCTAATGAAAGTTTTTCCCAGAAGCTCATGAACTGATGATTTTTGGTGAGAGAAGAACAGGCAAGAAAGTTTTCTGCTTGCTCAAAGCCACTGTGGCGTGTGGGCAGGTTAATAGGAAAGGCATTCTTCATAGTGGAAGGCTAAGACAGTTAACCTATCAAGCTTTGGCAGGTCCTAGATTTTATTTATGTAGTCAGCTCCACAAAAGTCTGAATGCACATCATGTGTGCACACACACACACATAAATCTATTTTGGAGCCTATCTATTTGAAGTGACAAAAGTTTCCATTTTGCCAAAAGAAAAAAAAAATCTGTTTTTTCCCCCTTTCCAGGCAGAAATGGTAAAATTTGTAAATGATGCTCCTCGTGTGGAACACAGTCTGTCATTAGCAATGGAAATAAGATGATAATAGTCGCCGGGCTGGTACAGGCTATTTTCAAGGTGTTCTAAATGCGGAAAGCAGCTCATACGAAGCTGGTGTTGTGTGTTTTGTGGAATTTAAAACTAATGTCCTGGGGACAAGATTTTTGGAAAGTCGTAATTCAGTCTTTAGATTCCGTATGGTTGTTATGCTTTAATCTGGAAAGCATAACTTATGCAGAAATAAGTCAGGAGAAATTTGAGCTTGTCTACTCATAGCCCCTAATGGTAACTCAGATGGAAAGGTTGTTTTGAATCACGAAAAGGGAATTTCTTGGTGTCAGCACGTCACGTAAGATCCTGAAGTCAATCAGAATTCAAGGACACAAGTACTATTTAAATAATACCCGCCCCCCACCCCCCGCCTTTTTTTGGAAAGTACACCTGTATACGGTGTTGTAGTATTATCTCTATCTGTTTCTGTGTAGAAATGCTTGGCAATTTCCTACAAACCAAATAAGCTGAAACCCCTGTTAAAAAAAGAAAAAGAAAAAATTCTTTCTATGTCCAGGATTTCGAACCCTGAGGAATAGGAGTCTTGTTTCTTTTGTCCAAGTACAAACTTCGCAGGGAAGCAGACAAAACATTGAAGCAGGTGGAAGACTGGGAAGGCACAGTAACTACTTTTTATAAAGTAATTCAAAGACACTTTCAAACCCGGCATCATTTAGGTATCAAAAGCTGCCAAAATGTAACACACATTGCAATTTTCACAGATGACTAATCTCAGGAAAAATGTGTTGGGGCGCATTCTTGCATAATAACTTGGATGAAGAGGGAGAAATGAAAGACTCTAACAAGGCATTTTCAAAGACAATGCACCTTGCCTCTCTTTAAGGGGGCGCAAAAAAAAAAAGATAAATGATTTGCTTTATTTGTTTGCGGTTGGCTTGGCTGAAATCGGTTTTGTTAACTGCTCAATCTTAATGTGGTTTGGGGGGGAAAAAGAAAAAGTCCTTCTTATGAGGGCTTTAACAAATTTCTGATTCTTTTAATCTGTTGTTCATCATCCCCCTTTAATACAGGAGGTAGGTCTGGTTGTTTGAGATTTTGAGAATAATCTGTATGTTTTGGTTCTATGCTGCATTAACTTATATTTGATGAAATAAACAGCCTCGACTTTCTCTTAGGCTTTTGTTAATTAGTCAGGGGAAAAGTGGTGTCTTTGGAGCAAAGACAGAAAGTAAAATAGATGGTTTTTACCTAGGTGAGAATAAGGGAAAAGGGGAAAACTGAGAACTACTCTTTGTTCGCATTTAGTAAAGGTGAGTGCCTTCTCCACAGGAACATACAGCAAACAGCAGCGCTTGAAGTGAAAGTAAGCTGACTGACGTTCATGATCTATTCCTACAGAGTTGCCTCTGTTTGGGAAAACACAGAATTGGACTCACATGAAATGAGTTCCTGCCTTATCTCAATCCGCTAAAGACCAGGTCCTTTGACACAAAGGTGCTTACTTCCGAGCCTGTCATTACACATGGCAATCCCATCTCCTGAGAATTTCAGGACTCTTATTGCTAGGCAACAGAATGGCTCTCTGTCCCCCAGGGTGAACTTGTGTCTTCAAGTCAGAATCACCTGCACTAACAGAGAGATGTTATCTGCATTGTGGCTGCTTACAGTGTGGGAAGTGACACAGCAAGTCCAAAAGGTCTCCAGAAATTCAGATCCGTTTCAGATGATCTTAAGGGCTGTCTGCTCAGTTCTGTCATTTAAACAAAATAGTCTGTGCCTTCTGATGTCAACGTTGTCATCGAGGACTCTGATATTCTCCCATAATGCACCTGCGGCTCGGTTAATGTTAACATCCTTCATTCGTATGTCATGGTCTCTAGACAGGTCCAGGTTCATAAAGCTTCATGACAAACCTTGGAGTTAGAAAGTCTTTCTTCTGCTTGAGAACTTGCGACCCTAGCAAGCAGAGAAAGCTAAAGGAGAGAATAAGACGGGAGAGGTAGACCTGGAAAAGAGAATATTTTAGATTGCTTGCAAAAATTAGAAGAAAGGGGACCTGAAATTTTGGTTGAAAGACTGTCACAAGCAAGCAGCTCTCCTGTGTTTAATGATTTTATGCTTTGAAATTAAAACTGGTTTTTTTAGGGTACAAAGAATGAAAAACCCTTTAATCCAGTGGAGCATATTTATCTATATCAGACTCTGTGTGTTGCTGGGAAATGTTGCCTTAGGAAGCAGAACCCTTAATAAAGCCATCTTTGTAATGAATGATTTTTCCTTTTTTGGCAGGGCCTGTTCTCTGGATGTCAGCTGAGTTACTAAGGTAACTCTGCATGTCAGTAGACAGACCTTGGTAGAACCTCAAGGCTCCTGGAGACCCCCATCTCTCCTCCTTCTCCTTCTTCTTTTTTTTTTTTTTGTGTCAGCGTGTCCTCACCGAACATTCAAAACTGTTTCTCCAAAGGGTTTTGCAAAAACTCAGACTGTTTTCCAAAGCAGAAGCACTGGCGTCCACAGCAGAAGCAATGGGCAGCGTGCGAACCAACCGCTACAGCATTGTCTCTTCGGAGGAAGACGGCATGAAGCTGGCCACGATGGCGGTTGCAAACGGCTTTGGGAATGGGAAGAGTAAGGTCCACACCCGGCAGCAGTGCAGGAGCCGCTTCGTGAAGAAGGACGGCCACTGTAACGTTCAGTTCATCAACGTGGGCGAGAAGGGACAACGGTACCTCGCAGACATCTTTACCACGTGCGTGGACATTCGCTGGCGGTGGATGCTGGTTATCTTCTGCCTGGCTTTTGTTCTCTCGTGGCTGTTCTTTGGCTGTGTGTTTTGGTTGATAGCTCTGCTCCATGGGGATCTGGATGCAGCCAAAGAGAGCAAAGCTTGTGTATCCGAGGTCAAGAGTTTCACGGCCGCCTTCCTTTTCTCCATCGAGACCCAGACGACCATAGGCTATGGTTTCCGGTGTGTCACGGACGAGTGTCCGGTTGCTGTTTTCATGGTGGTGTTCCAGTCGATCGTGGGCTGCATCATCGATGCCTTTATCATTGGCGCGGTCATGGCGAAGATGGCGAAACCAAAGAAGAGAAACGAGACTCTTGTCTTCAGTCACAATGCCGTGATTGCCATGAGGGACGGCAAGCTGTGTCTGATGTGGCGCGTGGGCAATCTTCGGAAAAGCCACTTGGTGGAAGCTCATGTTCGAGCACAGCTGCTCAAATCCAGAATTACTTCGGAAGGGGAGTACATCCCCCTGGATCAAATAGATATCAATGTCGGGTTCGACAGTGGGATTGACCGTATTTTTCTGGTGTCCCCAATCACGATAGTCCATGAAATAGATGAAGACAGCCCCTTATATGATCTGAGTAAACAAGACATTGACAACGCAGACTTTGAGATCGTCGTGATACTGGAAGGCATGGTGGAGGCCACCGCCATGACGACACAGTGTCGCAGCTCATACCTGGCCAATGAAATCCTCTGGGGCCACCGCTATGAGCCCGTACTCTTTGAAGAGAAGCATTACTACAAAGTGGACTATTCGAGGTTCCACAAGACTTACGAAGTACCCAACACTCCCCTTTGTAGTGCTAGAGACTTAGCAGAAAAGAAATATATCCTCTCAAACGCTAATTCATTTTGCTATGAAAATGAAGTTGCCCTCACGAGCAAAGAGGAAGATGACAGTGAAAACGGGGTCCCAGAAAGCACGAGTACGGACACCCCCCCCGGCATGGACCTTCACAACCAGGCCAGTGTACCTCTAGAGCCCAGGCCCTTACGGCGAGAGTCGGAGATATGACTGACTGATTCCTCCTCTGGAATATTTACATCGAAACACAGTCTGTTGGTCAAAGGCCCCAAACAGTTATTCAGGCGACGGTACCGGTGAAGAGGTGGGTCAAGGCAAGTGGCCACAAGGGACTGAGGCTGGCACTAGGGTTTCAAAGAAAGACTCCGAGCTCGAAGACGAATGGAAAGCACTAAACATGCCTCCCCGTGACCCGATGGCACATATATGTTGTAGAATAAGTTATGGGTGGGTTTTTTTTTTTTTTTTTAATGTTTTGTTTTATGTTTTTACAAAACTTGAACTTGCAGGCAAGCTTTGGTTGGGTATTTGACTTATCCAGAATGGAACAAGAATGTTTTTAATGGCATAACAAAGGCAAGACTCTGCCTTAATTTTGAAAAGCTGCTAACTACATGAACACAAATTGTATTTTTGTTGCCGTGTAGTTTTTCTTTCGTGTAATTTAAAAGTCAGTGTTGAACTTTGTTGAAAGCTCATGATATGCGCTTCAAAGTGGCAAGTATTTGGCTATTAGCTGCCAAAACGAGAGCCTGATTTTTTGAGGCCAGTAATTTGTTTGCTAGGAATTGATTT